AATGAATAATTATTTTTGAAATTTTTATTTTTATTTCAGAGTTGTGGGATACGTGAGGATTTGCTACGGAAGTAAATTGGGTGCAGGTAAGGTATGGGCTTCTAGAGAGCCCTTCTCGTCCTAGTAGCAGATATAGTACCTGGTGGGTAGTTGTGTGCCCTTTATTTCCCCAACTATCCTCCTCCTGCTGGTAGTGACTGGTATCCATTGTTCTGCATTTGTGCTCAAGTATCCAATGTTCAGGGCCCATTTACAAGTGAGAACATGCAGTATTCAGTCTTTTGTTTCTGTGATAGTTCACTTAGAATGATGGTGTTCAGTTGCATCCATGTTGCAGCAAAGACCATGATTTTGTTCTTTTTTATGACTGTGTAGTATTTCATCATGTATATGTACCGCATTTTCTTTATCTGGTCCACTTTTGGTGGGCATCTGAGTTGGTTCCATGTTTTTGCTATTGTGAGTAGTGCTGCAATGGACATATGTGTGCAGGTGTCTTTTTGGTAGAGTGATTTATGTTCCTCTGAGTATATTCCCAGAAGTGGGATCTGAATGAATTATTGAATAGATCAATTAATATTTTGCTTCATTCCAGAAGTAATTAAGAAGACTAACAATGAAACATGATATTGCAGAAGAGCATATTAAAATGATGCACACGATAAAATAATAAAGATGGAGCCCAAATAGAGTAAAGGCTGAGGCTTAAAATGCACATTATAACCTACCTACACATGTGCTGTCCACACACTGGGAACATATCTCTAAACTTTCCAGGAGTGAAGCTTTCCCAATATCTCACAGCCTATGGTAAAGCTTAGCCTTAAACTGAGGTCTTCCTACTCAAATCTCACAAGTTTGATTTCACATGAGCCTTAATCCAAACCACCACTGAGAAGGTCTCTCTTTTCAAACTTCTTTTGAAAATCTGTCAAGCATTTCTGCTTTATATACAGCAGACTAGCTTGTTACCATAGAAAAACTGAATGAAATATTTAAAATATCTGCTCAAAGGCATCAAGGCAGCAAGAATTTGAGGGACCAAAATCTTGGGGAGAAGAGGAGCACAGAGAGATGAGCCTGACACTGATGGCCACTTTTCCATTCATGGCATTTGCTGATGCCTAAGTGGCAAATGAGAGTCTGAGCATCTGAGTGAGTCTTCTGACAGTCTTGTGGAGTTCAAGTTCCAGGGTCACCAAGGATGAGGAGCCTCAATAAACACCCTAGGCTTTTGGTTGGGATCCCAGAAGGGCTATCCCCTGGGAGTCAAAGTAAATTAGAAATAGACCAACCTTTATAAAAGGCCAAAACCTGGTTTTAAATCAGACTTAATTATGGTGCTCTGCCCCTATCCTGACCACCTGCCAGAAAGAAAATTCTCTGGAGGATATTAGCATCATCCAGAGCCTGACATTACCTATGATTACAGAACTCTTTCTCACATTCCCATAGACCCATTCACTATCACAGCTCAAACATTCCCCAAACACCATTGCTATGCCCAATATGTGGCCTGCTCCGTCTCAGGAAGCTCTCATGTAGTCTAAAGCCAAGTTCCATCCTATGGGGTTAGAAGAAAGCCGGATGTGTCTGAGATCAGTACTTTGCGATCAAATTCCTTTTGTCTGTACTGAAAGAGTAGAAGACCCAAAGCTGGCACCAGGTGGTCCCTGGATCCTGGAAAGTCAGGTAGAGAGGTGGTGGTACAAGCTGCACACTTGCCTGCTGGTCAGTGGGCAGATGATAAAGGAGAAAAGCTGAACAATGGGCCCCGGAGAGCCAGAGACCAAAGAAGGACCAGGGTCTGGGAAACAAAGTCTTGCTCTTGCTGCTGCCTTCCCTTTCTATACAGCCAGTCCAGCCTCTCTAGTTATTCACAAGGTTGGGATAGAGGAGCACTTCTGCCACTTCCTTGAGCTTTAGGCTAGCTTCTGGCACTATCAAAGACACCTTTAGGACCAAAGGGCAGACCTCTAGGAGCACTGGGCAGCATGGCATAGTAGGAATTTAGAGTCAGACAGACCATGCTGTGTGATCTTAAACAAGTTGCCTAATTTCTCTGAACCAGATAAAGTCCTCTGACTGCAAATGCAAACCAGTTTTGGTCAACTTGAACAAAAAAGCAAGAGTAAGAGGGAGCTCCTAGGCTGATAGGAAAAAGGAAAGTCAGGCTCAAAACTAGAAGGGGAACTCAGGGATCTGGGCAGTAGGAACAGAAGGCTGATGTGGCTCTAGGTCCCTGCTGTCTGGAATAGATGGGCTACAGGTTTTCCCCTTCTCTGTCTCACTTTACCCTGCAAAGTCCTGGGAGAAGTATCTCTGATTGGTCCAGTGTAAGTCACATGCCCATCTCTTAGTCATGGCAAGGTAGGGCATCTTGGCTACAGATCCAAGGGTACACACTAGAGGAAAAGTAAATTCCCTCAACAACCGTTTACAAGGCTCCTTTTTGCCTGAAGCTGAACTGAGTATTGTCAGACAATTATGCTGAACTCCATTAGGGTTGGGGAATAGGGGGATTGTGAGGTTGGAAACTGGGGATTGGTTGGAAAAGAACTTATAAGCTGGGGATTGGTTGGAAAAGAACTTGTTTGCTCTGTCTACTGCTCTATTCCCCATGTCTAGAACATTTGGTACTTAGACACTCAAAAAATGTTAAATGAATGGGTGGAAGACAAGCTTTGCATTCGAGGAAGGCTGCTGTGACTCAAAAAAGTGACTCTGATGGGAATGGCAAGCTCCTATGGCAGACAAGGGTGGAGAACTATTTGTCCTTCTTAAATCACATGAAGTCTGCTTAGGTCTCAAAGTAGAATCAACTCTGATCCCTGCCATTACAGGATGTGACTGTGATCCAAGACAGAGGAAACAGATGCCTGAAGGTGATCATGACCCAAACTCTTTAGACTGCCGCCTGATGCTGTTTATCACTTGCCTCTTGTTTCATTTCTCCCCCTGCTACTTGTTCTTTCCCACTATGACCTCTTGTCATCTGAATAGCTTGTAGTGCCTGGCTGCTTACCCCACCCCCTCTCCTTCCATCTCTTAGTCTTTGACCAACTACTGGTCTTTTTTCAACTTAAGTGCCACTTCCTCTAGGTAACCTTCCTTGACCCATGATCCCAAGACAGAACTGGTTGGCTCTCCTTGTGCTTTCACCCACCCTGAGCTTATCCCAGTAGTTATATAACTGGTTATACATAACCTCCCATTTATTTCTCATTCTCCACATACTTAGACTTGAGCTTCTTGAGTGCAAGCCCTGCTCCTTCTTGTGTCCTTAGGGTCTGCCTGGCTCAGGGCCTGGTCCCTAACAGAAACTTGGTAAGTATTTGTTGGATGAAAGAATTAATGGCTGTTTAAAACAAGACCCATGAAAGAGTCCGAAGGCACAGTAACTGAAATCTTCCAAGTGCTCCAGAGGTCTATAAGATGTTTCTCTTGGGAGGGGGATGGAATTAACAGTAGCAAATATCTGTCAGGGGATGGGAAAACACCTCTTATCAACAGGGTACCTGAATGAAACGTAATTGTACACCTAACCCTTAACTGCACCCCACAAAACCATAATAAAAAATACTGATTAATGAAAAGAAAAAAAAAAAGATGTTTCTCTCTGTGACATTCTCCTTAAACTATTTCTCATGATTGTCAGGTAATTATAGGGTGAAATAATTGTAGGTTACTTCCAGCTGCCTGCCACCAGCTCCTGATCTGAGCCCACTCTCTAACGGGACGATTTACCTACTACGTAATTGCTACCACACCCCCTTCTCGTCCTCTGATTAACTACACTTACTCTTTTGTTTATAAACAATGGAAGTCTTTCACTTCTTTATTAAATGTGCATGCATTTAACAGGACAAATATCTCAGCCACATAGCCACAGCCTGGAGAGCAGGTGCATCATGGCTTTCTTTCTGCAGAACTTTGCGCAGTGCCAGAGAAAGTAGGTGCATCCAAGAGGAGACAATGGATGATTGGAGCTGCTTTGTGATCAGTAGGACTAAGAAAGGGTGGAGTTTGAATACCCATAAACTCAAACTGCAACCAATAGAAAACTGAGAGTATTTCATTCCCCACTAAAAATCTACCTCATCTCATTATTTGGCTGGCTTTACATCTTGAACCCCAGCCAACCCAAAGTTATCGAGGACTGCAGTGCACTGGTGAACTTGGAGGAAAGAGGCTGGTACTGTTAGAATGGAGGGACCTCTCAGATGTGATATGGGAAAGGATGATTCAAAGGAAGGCCATAGTGAAAAATCTCCCGGACTTTTTTTCCCCAAGACACAAAAATGGCAGGTGGTATGTAAAAAAACACCTGCATGGGTTTTTGTGTTCCTCGTTGGATTATGACTGAGACATCATCTGTAAGTATCTCACTTAGTTATTGACATGTTGACTGTCTGTTTCCCCTGCTCCCACTGGAATGTAAACCCCATGAGGGTAAGGACTTTGTTTATTGCCTTGTCCCTCTATACTCAGAACAGTGCCTGGCATATACTGGGCACTGAATACATGTTTCTTGAATGAATGAAAGAGCTCAGGCATTAAAACAATAGGACACTCCGAGAATCCAGAAAACAGGTGGTGGGCTGCTGTAGGGAAAGTGATGATTACATGGGGCAAAAGAGATAAGAGCAAGTGATGAAGTTTATTGGTACTAGGGAATTAGCTATTAAAACAACAAAATGGCAGCGAGTTGCTCCACCAGTCCTCTTCTTTCCAGAACGTGTGGAGGGCAGTAGGTCATGGCTAATTTCAACCATAATCCTTAACCTCTGTGTCAAATCACACTTCTGAATGAGACTCCATGGAATTCCTGGGCCCTGAACAGATCCCAAGGAACTGTGCAGGTGACAGGGAGCTATCCATCGCTGGCACCCCTCACTGCTTGTATCAGAGCCCTAGGAAACTGTTGTGGTGGGGAATGGCAGAGTTTCCATTTGAACTTGCTCCTTTTCCTGAAAGTTAAAACCCACATGTCCAGCTCATTATCCCAGAATTTATAACCCAGAGTCTACGTATATATTCCTATAACCCTTGATGTCCTTAAATTTGTTGCTGCTCATATTAACTTGGATCTGCCTTTGGCCACTCTTGAAGGGGACAGTCTCCAGAGTGATGCTGTCTCTGTATTGGGGTGCGAGGACTCCAATGCTGCAGCAGAGAATGGAGCATATCAGGAAACCATAGACATTAGGATACCTCCAGAGCCCCTTTCTACTCAGCTTCCAAGCTGAGTGGAAGGGAGAGTGTCTGTGTTCCCTTCCCAGTATTCTGAGCCTGGGCTTGAAGCCCCTGTCCAGAAAGAAGGATAGTGTTAATCCCAGGGAAAAAATGGAAGAAGCTGAACACTCCCAATACTTACAGGACTCTCTGCTGTTTCTTGAAGAGGCCACTTCCTTCCATGGTCAGCACACAGTTTTCAACCTGCTCTGAGAGGGGGTTGGAAAATATCACCTGTATGAAGAGTGGCTGGTTCACAACGGCTGCTCCTAGAACCTAAACAGAGAGCCAGAGCAGGGGAAGAAACAGAGAATTAGTCCTCATTCTCCAACTCATGGACATTTATGGACAGCACTGTTCTTTGGAGTGGCAGGATATGCCACCCCAAGATACGCAACTTTGTCATAAGGATGACTTTGAGCTGAAGACTGTTGAGAAGAAACAGATATAAGAGAAGCTCTCTGTTCTCCTATTTGCCTAAAAGCGGACATAAATTTACAAAGATGTTCCCACTCCCTCTCTACTAGGAAGAACAAAAGTTAAACACTGAGACACCCGGGCTTGGTTGCTCAGCCTGTAATCCCAGCGCTTTGGGAGGCCAAGGTAACTGGATTGCCTGAGCCCGCGGGTTTGAGACCTGCCTGGGCAACTTGGCGAGACCTCATCTCTATAATAAATAAAAAATTCGCCGGGCGTGGTAGCACGTGCCTGTAGTTCCGGCTACTTGGAAGGCTGAGGAGGAAGGATCGCCGGAGCCCAGCAAGGCGAGGCTGCAGTGGCCGGGAGTAGCCACTGCACTCCAGTCTGGGTGACAGAGTGAGACTCCAACTCAAAAAAACAAAAAACAAAAAATACCGAGACAACCTTAGACCCTAATCAGCTTGGAGACAGCACCAGAGGAATCTTTACAATAAACTTTACTAACTTGCCTTTATCCATCATGAGTTTCCATATACCCAGCTTCCCACAATTTGATGCCCCCAAAGACTCAAGATCCTTTTCCTTTCTCTTGTCACTTCTTTTCAAATGTATTGCTCTGGCCAACAGATACATGAAAAAGTGCTTGCCTCACTAATCATCAAAGAAATACAAATTAAAACCACACTGAGATACCACCTAACTCCAGTCAGGATGGCCATCATCAACTCAAAAACAGCAGTTGCTGGAGAGGATGTGGGGAAAAGGGAACACTTTTACACTGCTGGTGGGAGTGCAGACTAGTACAACCTCTGTGGAAAACAGTTCAGCGATTCCTAAAAGATCTAAAAATTGACCTTCCATATGACCCTGAGATCCCCCTACTGGGAATAAACCTGGAGGTATATTCAAATCACTCTGTGAAAAAGATACCTGCACATATATGTTTATTGCAGCATTGTGCAAAACCACAGAACCAACCGAAAGAGGACTGGATTAAAAAAAAGTGGTACATGTACACGATGGAATATTACACAGCCATAATGAAGCACAAAATTATGAAATTCACAGCAACTTGGATGGACTTAGATAGTCTGTAATACTGAGTGATCTATCACCAGAAACAAAGAACTGAGTACCACATGTTCTCTCTCATAAGCAGTCCTTGATCAATTATTGTAATACTATAAAAAAAGGTTTGACAGTAGTGGGAAACTGCTGGGTGGAGGGTGAGTGGGGGGTGGCAGGGGGCAGGGTTGGCAGTAGTGTGAATCTGCTGGGGAAGGGGGAGGCACATCTCATCAACAAGGGTACTTGCATAATGAACATTTGTACACCTAACCCTGAAATGTACCACACATCTTTAAATATGTATATATATATTGCTTCTTTGCTAAGGTGCTATATCAGCCCAAGTTCTAACAAAACTTTTGAGTTTCCCCACCAGGGGGCTTCATGGGCTCACTTGGCAGGGTCTAGGAGGCTGGGTGACCTTGAGGAGACAGCACTGAATGGAAGTGAGCCCTTGTCTTCCTACTCAGAAGCCCACAGAGTGCCAGAGCAGGAGGGGTCCTCAGAGACCATTTGGTCTAATCCCCTCTTCCAACAGTTCAAGATGCAGAGGCCCAGGGGCTTGTCCAAGGATGCACAGTCAGGAAATGGCAAGTCAAGTCCGAGCTGACCTTCCAGCAGGGATCTTCTCTCCAACTGAGACCCTCCCATCAGGGCTTACATTTCTTTATGTTGACCCCGGGGAAGGACAACAGTAGGAGGTGGCAAAAGAGAGGACCTCTCCTACTGTCCACGACACCTGCTCAAGGGTCCGGCCATGAGTTCTTTCATGGTGCAAGAGGATAAAGACTCTCAGATAAACCCCCTTCCTGGAGCACCAGAAGAGGCAAAGGAAAGGAGGGGATGCCTTTCTGAGCTGGTCCAGGCTGCCCTCTCAGAGGGCTTCGCTCCCTCCCAGCTGGTTCCAAGGGGCCCCACATGCCATTTGCAAGACTCTTGCCTACATTAACCATGATGCTTGGGTAGGTCAAGGTGATGATCTTGTTTGCTAGGATTTTCTTGAGACTGTTTTTCTCTTCAGCTATGGCACTGATGCGGATCAGCTTGTCTGTTGACAGGTACTGGCTGTACTGGGCATAGGAGATTTTGCAGGAGTAGGTATTTGCTGGAGAGAGAACACAAGGATAAGGTGAGGGTAGCTGAGAAAATCAGCAGAGTCTGGGTTGGGTCTGGGGGCCTCTTCGATAGCGTAGAGGGAGCCAACATGTACTGAGTCCCAGTGAAGCAGGTACTGGCTTTTCAGATGAAGAAAATGAGGTTAAGAGAGACAAAATGGGCTGCTCGAGGTCAATCTGCTAGTGAATGGGTGAGCTGAGGCTCCAACCAAGGTCAAGATGACTCTAAACTCAAGTTTATCCCACTAGAGAGACTAAGTACTTTCCTTGGGGCAGTAAAGGAAAGGGAGGGGGAGAAGGAGGAGGAAGAGAAAAGAGGGTGAGAGGAGAAAGTGCAGGAGAAAGAGAGAGGGAAGGAAGGGAGGAGAAAGAGGGTAGGAGCAGGAAGAAGGCAGCATCAGTGCTGGAGAGGACAGAAGGAATAATGGTGTCCTGGGGTCTGTCCCCAGAACCCTGTTGGCTGACTTGACCCCACTGGCATTGATACAACCAATTCCGTACACAGTCTGTCCCATGTCCATACCCAGAACCCATACCTTCTTCAGGAGAGAGTGTGATGAATGCTGTGTCCTGCCAGAATGGGGACAGGGGGCTGCCATCATGCAGCAGAGACTGGGCACTCAGGTTCACTTTGAGGTCCTTGAACTGGGACGACATGTTGAGGGCCAGAAGGACAAAACGTATGTCCTGACCCATGTTGGGTGGATCAAGCAGCTTGAATTTCAAGGAGACCTGGATGACATCACTGGGTGGAGGGGAACGTGTATCCAGGCTCCAAGGACTGCCTCGGCTCAGTGTTGGGGGCCCATAAGGTTGCAAAGCTTGGGACCTTCCAGTCTTCAGCTTTTGTAGAGCCTTCAGAAACACCTGCCTCTCTTGGGGGGAACCTGAGGGAATAGAGCACAACACCAGCTGTGAGCCAGGTTGACCTGGGGTTAGCCTTGCTTGAACACCCACCCTCAACATCTCTATCAACAACTTAAAACCTTCATTTCCAGAAACAAACAGTCCCTCCCATTCCTCACATGTTTTCTGGGTCAGGCTCTGCTGAGCACTTCACACTTTTCATCCTCATCTCAATCATGAGAGAGATGTATTGTTATTGCTGTTATTATTATTATTATTCCATATATAGATGAGGAAAAGGAGATTCAGAGAGATCATGTCACCTGCCCAAGTCATACAACTGGCAAGGACCAGAGACCAGGTGGAAACCAAATCTGCTCAGTTCCAAAACCTGTGCTCATGACCACTGGACTGTATCCTGACATCCTCAAAGGAGAAACAAAGGCCCACAAGTATGAGGAATAAACCTTTTAAAGATAGCAGGGCATGATGTGATATCCTGTTTCAGAACCAGATTGTTGGTCAGGTGTAGACTAACTCCTGGAAATTGAGGAAGAGAAGTACGGTAAAATAAATAGATAGATGACAGACAGATGACAGATATAGATATAGATAGGGATATTCAGGCAGAGCTCCTAGAGTGGCCCAGGCCTCCCTGCTCAGTTTCGTGAGGGAGAGGATCCCTATGCATAGTATGTGCAGAATACTTTCCCATGAGTCCCTTATAATTTCAGAAGCTGCTTCTATGAGTACTTACTATCTCCAGGGACCAGCCCCACCCACTCAGTGCATTTGCCACCACCTCCTTTGGCAGAGGTCACTTTTACTCTGGAGGTTGTTTTAACCCCACTTCCAAGTAGAAGAAGATCTTAAAACATTTGTTTTAGTAAAAGGGGTCCCAGAGAGATGAGAATCAGATTTAGCACATTTATGGTCTGCTTGATACCCAGACTTTGCCAGGCTGACTGGTAGGAGACAGAATACTGCTGGCCCAAGGAGCCACAAACAGAGTAGATACTCAGGCCCACCAGAATATAATTCTACTCTCCCACCCCAAGTTCTCAGGAAAAGCTGTGGACCTTGTCAGCAAATGCTGTCAATGTCCTGTCCAAATGGCACTTACCATTTCAGTGCCCACAAGCCCTACTTTCACACCGTAGCCCCTGAAACTCTGTCGAGACTTTCTCTGCCACCAGAGCAGATTCAGCCTATGTGTATGGCAGACCAGAAGTGCTAGGGAATTTTCACCACCCAGGAATAACCCTTAATCCATGACCGGCAGAAGTTAGTAGATAAATACCCTAGCTCCCCTGCCTCTCATGTGATAAATCTGCAGATTTGTTCTACACTTTACACTGAATCAATTGTAGGGTTGCCAGCTTTAGCAAAATAAAAACACAGGGCCATTTTATTCAAATTTCAGATAAACCACAAGTAATTTGGGGCATACCTGTACTAAAGCATTCTCCATTCTGCATTTCCCTTGGCAACCCTCCCAGAGCTCCCAGCAGAAGTAAAGGCCAGCTGTCCATGGTGCAAACAGGTTCAAAAACACCTCTGCATTTGCTTTCTTCCCTTCCCTGTCTCACTTCCTCATTCTCCTACCAGTATTTCCTGGATTGCCTCACAAATAAGCCATTTGTATTTGAAAGCTTGCCTCAGAAACCTTGTTTCTGGGGCAACCCAACCAAGATAAGGCCAGGGTCAATGGGGAGAGGTGAGATGATGGCACTGCTGGCTGTGTTTGGTACTTGTCTCCTACCACATACCTTCTTCCCAGGCAGGAAATTCTGGATCCTCCCTGTATCTGCTTCCAGGGCCCATGTAGACAAACCACAGACACCCATTCCCCGGTACTCCCAGCAATCGCTCCATCTCTCCCTTCCTCCACCCTCCTGTCTTGCTTCTCCTCAGATTCCGCCCCCTCCCCATCTCAGCTCTAGCCTCTCATCCTGCTTCTGCCTTAATGGTCTGGGTATTTTTGCTTGGCTCCCTGGTGGTTCAACCTAGTGGCTGGCCCATTTCAGTGTCCAGGAACTCATCTATACCGGACCAACTTAGCCTCTCCTTTGGCCCTGAGCCAGAATTCTCACCTCAGAATCATCCTCTGGCCCTGCTGGCCTTGCTGGCGTGTGTGTGGGAGTGAACATTTTGCCCTTACATCTGCCTGGGTGCTGGCTGGTGGTCTGGCCTGTCTTCCAAACACTCAATGAAACACAATTAATTAAATAATAAGTTAAATGGAATAAATGAAATTAATTACTAGGAGAGCGTTTACTAAATCCTCTGCCATCTTCAGTGGGAGGCTAATTTTGGGGGGAAAGCAGGGGCAATAATTCATATTCTGTTGTGAATGGCTCTACAATCCATGTGAACATCTTGTGGAGGGAACTCACTGGCCTATGGGCTACAGCGTGATGGTGGATGTAAGGAAGTGAGTCAGTTGGGACAACCGAACTGGGGCCTCGAAACTGAATGTCTGAGGATACAGTGGACCTGGGTCCTACTCCACAGACACACTCTTGTTCCCTGGGGTAGGGGAAGGTATCCAAGGACTTGGACTCTGAGTAGGACTGGCTTAGTCATACCTTCTTCGTACTTGTAGTTCTCTGTGATGTCATCCCGCTCCTCACTCCAGATGCTCTTGGTGCTGATAAGATTGCCAACAGAGCTTGTGTCCTGGTGAAGTTTCTGCTCCTTTCCTCCTTCGACAAGCCAGGACATGCAGTCAGCATTCACCATAGAAAACACAAAGGGAGTGTCGTAGTTCAAGTCTACTTCTCCTTCTTTGATGGCTCTGACGGAGGCAGGGCCACAGCAGTAGAGGCCTGAAGGAGAAGAGGAGAACCTTGATGGGCTGTTTGTTACAGGGCTGGGCAGGGGCAGGGGCACTTTCCGTGGGAGTGGGTTCTGCCTTTCTTCTGGATGGGCTCACCATTGCTCATCTCCTGAGGTGTGGCGTCCAGCACCTGCCAGCCTCCATATCCAGGAGGGAGGTCCTTCCGGGCCATCCAGCACTCATTCCAGACATGGAAATTCCTGAGAGAGAAGCCAGAGGAGTCAATGTCAAATGGAGCTAAGGGAGAGGTTGTAATGTTTGCTCTTTCTAGAGTGAGGCAAGATGGATGAGTGACTGAACTATTAGAAAGACAGACTAGCCGGGCTCGGTGGCTCAGCCTGTAATCCCGCGCCTTTGGGAGGCTGAGGTGAGTGGATTACCTGAGCCCGTGGGTTCGAGACCTGCCTGGGCAACCTGGCGAGACCTCATCTCTACAATAAATCAAAATGAGCCAGGCGTGGTAGCACACGCCCGTAGTTCCAGCTACTTGGAAGGATCGCCGGAGCCCAGCAGGTCAAGGCTGCGGTGGCCGGGAGCGGCCACTGCACTCTAGTCTGGGCGACAGAGTTAGACTCCAACTCAAAAAAAAAAAAAAAAGAAAAGAAAGACAGACTTAGTCGACCACAGGGCTGGAAACCTCTGTGGGTGAATAGTGATGATTCTTCCTCCTTCTAGAAAAGAGCCTTCTAGAAAAGAGCTTCCCTCTGCTGACTCAGTTTGTAAACAGAAAGTGAATGCTTCCAGAGTTCATTGAAATTACAAATCCTTCACTCTCTCTCACAAAAATGGTCCTTTTCCTGTGTGTGTTGCTGACTCACAGAGGCAATCATGGTCTTTGTGTCCTGAGGTATGGTTGTCCTATAGCCAGAACTGTTGGGACTCAGGAAACAATATTAAGGTCTTAGAAGCAAAAGCATTTTGTTGTTGTTGTTGTTTTGTTTTTTATTTGCCTTTTCCTGCCCTCCTGTCTCTCAGTCTCATTTACCCCCAAGGCTAGCCACTGAAACTAAAACCTCTCTTCCCCTAAGCAACTCATAGAAATCAGAAATCCCTTTTCCTCCAAAGCCAATCATAAAAACCTAAAAATATTACTGTAACTTTCTCTTCTTCATCTTTTTTGTGTAAAAAACGGATAAAGAAATTATTTGACTGACTTCATTTGACTGTAGGTCATAAGACCCCCCATTCCAGAGACAGTCCTGCCCCATACCCAGAAGGAAGAAATGCTGCTCAGAGAAGCCAGGAAGACTCTAGACAGTCAGACCTTGCTGGGTTTCCCTGCTCAGTCTATTAGCATTAGATCATACCCTTTTTGTCCAATCATATTTCTACACAGTTGTCCATACTTCATTAAACCTAAGCATAAAAATAGACAATTTCCCCTGTATCTTTGGGTCTTTATTCTGAAGGCTCCCATGTACATGTTAATAAATTTTCTATGCCTTTTTTCCAACTAGTCTGCCTTTTGTGAGTTGATTTTTCAACAAACCTTCAGAGGGTGAAGGGAAATATTTTTTTTGGTCCCTGCAGAATCATAGACTGAGTATTATATGAAGGAGGTGACCAAGAGGAAAACCCATGGCAGAGAGCTCTTATGAAGTAATGATTCTAAATTAGCTTTGTTCAGCTGTTTCCCAGTTGAAGATTGGCAAGAGAGGAGAAGGCGCGATTGACAAGGGTGGGGTGGGGTGGAGGACACAATGGGGTTCATGGCCACACGGTTCTGCCCTCCTTCCTGCCAAGGCATTTGGCTCTGAATTATGGTCCTAGAAAGAGACTGAGAGGTTGTTTCTCACCAGATAGTATCCTTCTTCCTATTCATCAGTATCCTGCCCGTACTGTCATAATACTCATCTATGATCAGGTTTCCATCTGTGTCGTGGCCGGAGTCAAAGTTGGTGATCACACGGGTGGGGATTCCGAGGCACCTCATCACTGCAGAAAGGGCAGAAAAACCATCTGTGGGCTGTGGATTCAGGAACTCTGTGGATTCCAGGACTTAAGGCCCTAGACCTAGGGAAATCATTCATTTAGTATCTGCAGGACCAGGCAGGAGCTGTCTGGGGCACGAGGTTGATGACATCTCCAACTTCCTTTCCCACTTCCTGAGCCTCATGGGAGAGATTCCGGGCAAAGGCTGGGATGCTAGCTGCCCAGACAAGAACAGTCAGAGCCAGCAGAAAGTCTAACAAGTCATGGGTTCTCATGGTTATGCCAGCAGGGTGGGATAGGAATGTCTCTCTTCTGGCAAGACTTAGAGGCCTAACTCAGTCTTATTTCTCTTCTGGCCATACATCTCCATCTTCAAATCAAATAGCTGGAATTCTATCCTCCCTGTGGTTAGAATTATTGGTAGAGATCATTATATTCTCAGGCAAAGAGTTTTGTAGCTTGTGTTCTCCCTTTTCCCTGGGTATATTACCTTGGAAATCATTCAAGGAAAGCTTTATAGATCAAGCAAAGAAGGAACGGAAATCATGTAACAAAATCTTAGAAAAATAAGAGTATCTACTTGGTGAGAAGCGCTTGAAAGATGGTAGAGTATTGTCTTTATTCCTGAGGGTCATATATTCCCTTTGCCAGCTAATGTCTTCTTCTTTTTCTTTTTTTGTCTTCTGCCATATTTCTCCCATTCTGTGCTCTTTTAAGTACAAGAATAACTCCCAGTCCCATCCCACTATCAAATGCCCTGGGGATCCCTGTCCCCTCAAGTCCAACAGTGACAGCCCACCCAATTTAATAATAACAGTAATAATAGTGTCTACCAGCCAGGCATAGTGCTAATGGTTTCACATGCATTATTTCTCAAGACAACTCTGCATGGTAGCTGCTCTTATTATTTCTATTATGAAGACAAAGAATCAGAGGCTAAGAAAAGTTTGCTCCCTTGTCCAAGGTCACACAGCTAGTAAGGGGTAGAGCTATCATTACAATCATGGTTTCATTGCTAAGCTTGCATTCTATATTGAGTCTGCCTCTCAGTAGTACACATACAGTTCAACATTCTAGTATATTCATCTAATTACACACCCCAAGCATTTTCCCATGTTATTAAATATTTGCCAAAAGCAAGATTTTTAGTGGTGAATATTTTTAGATATTTAATTGGTTTCCAGTTTTTCCCCTGTTGTAAATAATGCTGTGACAAATATCTTTGTATATCAATATTTCCTCCCTCCCTGGGACAGATTCTAAGAGGTACAACGACTGAGTAAAAAAAAATGTAGATATTTCTAAGGATTCTCTCCAATACTATCATTTAAAAGTGTTAGAATTTTTAGTTCAAACATGCAAATGCTTATAGATTTTAGCTGAGGATCCTTCTTCGACAGAACTTTGGCACAAAGTCTCTCCAGGCTAGGGTGGGGACAGACCTCTGATGTGGCACGGGAAGGGGAGGAGAGGCCCAAAGGGGAGCCTTGAGCTTTCCCTTGAGTGGCAGGTCTGAACAAGGTCAAAGAACTAGGGCAGGCAGTGGGCAGAGCTGACAAGTGGTTTGTAGGTGGAGGTGACACAGGACAACCTCAGAGGGGAGGCTAAAGGTTGAAAAGTTGTCACTGAAGGAAACTGAGATGGGAGTGAGGCAGGAGAGGAGCATTGCGTGGGCAGTTAGGAGGAGGGATCACGGTAACAAGAGAACGTGCCAAGGAGGGGTGGGCAGGGAGGCAGCAGAGAGCAAGCCTCCTCTCGTTCTCCACCTTGACGGAGGAATTCAGGAACGGCTCCCTGAAGTGTCAGTAGTGGTGTCCATTTATGCTAAGCATGTTTTGATGGTCACTTTTCCACCCTAACACAGGTGGTCCTGAAGCACTTTGAAGTTTTCTATTAGACCAGAGTACACGGCTTATAATGATTTGTTTACGAGTCTGTCTTCCTGAGGGCAGGGGTTGTGTGTTATTCATCTTTGTCATTACTTAGTCTTTAACAATACAGGGCAAGGCCCATTTTGTAGATACCCACTGCATCTTTGCTGATGGATGAATTTATGATGTCTTGTGACTCTTTTTGTCCACTCTGGTGATTTCTCACTCCAACACCCCACTGTCCTAATGGCTGGGTGCTATGCTTTGTGCTAAGCTTGATGGTCTGTAGAGCCTAAGCTTTGAGGGGTGATGGATTTGCACTGATCTATTCTCACTCTTTCCTCATCATGGCTTGTGAGAAGACTTGGATTCTGTCATAGTAGAACAGAATGAAGCTACAGAAGATTAGGAATGGTTTCTTACACAGAGGGTGAAGCCAAGGCATTAACTTCAATATCATTCATAGGGAATTAATGGTGCTCAGATCTATGCAACCAAAGTTATCCACATATGTGTTTCCAGGGGCCTTGTTCTCTCTGTCCTTCTTGTTCTGTCCTCCCACAAAGAACTCATCCATTCTATGACTTCATCTCTCACCTGTGTCCAGGACTTCTGAATTTGAATCTTGGGCCTCTCTAGAGACCTTGCTTTCACTGAACACATTCCCAACTGAACTTGCTGTCTTTCAGTCTTTCCAGTCCTCCTGTCTAGTCAAGGATATCATCATCACCTTAGGTGCCAGGCCTGGTGCCAAACACCACAAAGACATTATCTCAGTCTTCTTCAACTTTAAAGATGATTATCTCAAGTTTAAAGATGAGACACCTGAAGTTTAGAGAGGTGATGTTACATGGCAGAAAGAGGAAAGCCAGAGCAGGATCCAAATCCATGTTTCTCTGATCTCAAAGCCTCCTGTGCTTTTGACTACAGGCCACACCACTACAACACCACTGGACATCCCAACCCACACCTCAGTCTCGCTGCTCCTTCCTCTCTGACGTGTTTACCAAATATTCCACACCATATTAGTCCCTTCTCGTGCCTTCATGTAATCTCAATTACCTGTACCACATTAAGTCCTCTATAGTTAAATATATCTGTCTTATCTTATTCATCAAATTATAAGTCCCCCTAGAGTTGGGTTCATATTAGATACTTTTCTTGCATTTCTTCATTCCTTGTACAGTGCTGGGTACAGTGTAGATGCTCATTAAATTATTGCTGAAGTAAGGTTTCTTTAATCTACAAACAAGGTTTCTGCAGACTGTTGGCCTAATGACTCACAGTTTGACATGAGCTTTAGGTGACCTGTCATTGTAAATTTTATGGGATCTGAGTCCCTTATAAAAGATAAACCCATATGGGGCATGTATGTTTGTGTACGTGTATATATATGCGTACACACTCTTATGGTGACACTTGGGCGAAGGTGGACAAGATTTCAATGTTAGAAAAGACTACAGAGTTCTCAAGATATATTACACCACATTCTTGGCATTAATAATTACATTACTTCATTAGGTGAAGTGTCAAGTCCTTGCTATGGATGAGGCAGTGGTTTAGACGTAGAGAATAAGAAAAGATGAAAGTCTCAACTTAGGCAATATAACAAGACCCCGTCTCAATGAAAAATCTTTTTAAAAATTAGCTGGGCATGGTGGCACACACCTGTATTCCCAGCAACAGGGAGGTAGAGATGGGAGGACTGCTTGAGCTTAAGAGTTTGAGGCTGCAGTGAGCTATGATTGTACCACTACACTCCAGCCTTGGCAATAGAGTAAGACCCTATCGAGAGAGAGAGAGAGAGAGAGAGAGAGAGAGGTAAAGAAAGACAGAGAAAGAAGGGAAGGAAGAAAGAAAGAAAAGAAAGAAAGATTGATTTCTTCCTTCAAGGAATACAACTTCACTTCTAACTGGTGATGGGCACTGTCCTGATGGTGTATTAAACACTGAGTATGTTTCAGGACTGACTGTGACTAACCAGTTCTTTTTCCAACTGCCATGTGAAAATGTAGCTCCATTTTTATTTTATTTTAAAAATCAGTGGAAAATTAGAGTTCAAGTTACTGAAATTCATTGTCAACTTTGCTTCCATAGCTTATACTGAAGGATACATTAAAGGCTCCAGCTTATAGAGTAAAAGTCATTGCATGTAAATATGATGACTTTTATCATCTAATTTCTCCCTGGATCCGCTGAGCTTCAAATGATAAAAATATCACTTCCTGTTCCTCCTCCCTTGCCTTTGAGTGCCCCTTATAACCGGAGGGTCAAATTGCCTTGATTTTTCAGGCATGCCATCATGAGGTCATATCTGAACTATTCTCTCTCATCTGCAATGGCAATGAAATGAAATCTTACTTGTTTCCTTAACAGTATCTTAAATATGCAAAGGTATGTCATCTATTTTCCAAGATAATCTCTGGTCTTCTATCCTGTACTAGGGAAAGCTCTACCAAAATTATTTTTTGACAAGGGGATGGGCAATTCAGAACTAAACCATGATCATTAAATTCAGTCTGTCACTCAAGGAGTAAAAATGAGCACTGTTTGTGGAGAAATAGAAAATGGAATCGAGGATATCAACTTTTAGGGGGCTAAGCTCGGAGCGTAGGACCTGGATTATTTATTAGACAAAAATGGCATAACAGAAGATGGTTTGGGACAATTTCCATAGCTACTCTGTGGCTCTGTGGGAGATCGGTAAGTGTTATCTGAGGGGTCTGACATGGTAAAAGAGTCTCCCTCATAATTAGCACTACAATCTACTCCCTGCATTTTCACAGAAGGCAGTTACCTGGAGAAAAGACAAAGCACATGTGGGGATGGACAATCAGAAAGCTGCTTTAAAAGGAACAACCTCTAGCCAAAGTGTTTAATTTGAATATTTCAGTCTTTTATATCTAACTTCCCATGACAAAATACAAGGAACAGAAAGACACAAGAAGGCCAACAATACAATGAAGCCCTCAGATGAATCCAAAAGGTAGAATTATGCAGGACAACTATCTCAGTGTCTTCATATTGAATAAAGTCACATATTGAATAAAGGATCTACTCTAGATTAAAAGACACAAAGGGCATTGCAACCAGATGCAATGTTTGGTTCCAAATTAGATTCCAGGTTGGATA